GTATGGAAACAAGAGGGCAAAGGCTACTGAGAGCCATCTTAGAGGCTGTCTGTGATTGTATTTTGATGAAAGACCCTTCTTTTGTAGTATTTGTTTCTTCCTTACCCTTCATTCTCTTTGCTCATATTTCTGTATCTAAACCCTCTGGCAAGAGGGAGAAGTAGGCTTTTGACGGGAGCCTGATGTGGTACTCCATCCCAGGACCCCGGGATCACAATCTGAGCCAAAGGCAGATGCTCAACCACTGAACCACCCAGGTGTCCCCAGCATATGTATTTTGAATTTATAAAATGGTATTGTGATGTAGGTCTTGTTCTGTGTCTAAGGTTTTTTTTCTTCTACTTTTGTAAGATTTATTCATTTATCCTAGAGAGGGTGGGGAGGGGCAAAGGAGAGAGAGGATCCCAAGGACTCCCCACTGAGCGCAGAGCCCTATGCTGGGCTCAGCCCCATGACCCCCCAAATCACCATCTGAGCTGAAACCAAGGGGCAGATGCTCAATAGACTGAGCCACCCAGCTGCCCCTCTGTGGTAAATCTTGATCAGAGAGAGTGTGTGTGTGCTTTGAAACATTGTTAGCTTTTTTTTTTTTTTTAATTTTTTTTTTTTATTTATTTATTATAGTCACAGAGAGAGAGAGGCAGAGGCACAGGAAGAGGGAGAAGCAGGCTCCATGCACCGGGAGCCCGACGTGGGATTCGATCCCGGGTCTCCAGGATCGCGCCCTGGGCCAAAGGCAGGCGCCAAACCGCTGCGCCACCCAGGGATCCCACATTGTTAGCTTTTATTTTGGATTTCCACATCTATGTTCATAAGCAAAATGGACTTTATATTGTTCTTACTCAATTTTGAAATGGAGATGAGCCTAGCCTCTTAAAAAGAGTTGGTCAGTTTTTCCCTTGTTTTCTCAGTCAACTTTTATGTGATTAGAATTACTTTCTGTTTAGAAGGTAGGGAACACCTTGGGCAGCCCAGGTGGCTCAGCGGTTTAGCTCCGCCTTTGGCCCAGTGTGTGATCCTGGAGACCCGGATCAAGTCACATGTTGGGCTCCCTGCGTGGAGCCTGCTTCTCCCTCTGCCTGTGTCTCTGCCTCTCTTTCTCTCTCTCTCTCTCTCTCTCTCTCTCTCTCATAAATAAATAAAATCTTAAAAAAAAAAAGAAAGAAAAACCTTCATATAAAAAATACTTTGGACCTGAAGCTTTTTATAGGTAGAGGTCTTTCATTAAGACTTCATTTTCTAGGAAATAAGAGAAGAAAAATTTTTAAAGGACAAAAGAATTTCATTTTCTTTCAGATCTCTTTAGCTCTTCTTCATTTTTGTATTTTGTTTATTGTATATTCTTTTTTCTTTTCCTTTATCAGTTTTGCCAAGATTTGTTTCTCAATTTTTAAATGACCCATAGTTTTATTTTTTTTAAGTTTTTTTCAGTGCTTTTGGGTTTTCTCTTTTCTTTTTTATTTTTTTAATAAGATTTTGTTTGTAAATAATCTTCACACCCAACATGGGGCTTGAACTCACAACCCTGAGATCTAGTCAAATGGTCCGCCAGCTGAACCATCCAGGTGTCCTTTCATTTTAATTTAAATTCGGCCCTTTATCTTCTTTCTTACACTTTTCAGTCTCTTAGCCTTCTTCTAGCTTCCCAAATTGACAGCTTAGCTCAGTTATGTTCACTCTTTCTTGTGTTGGGGTGTGGTGAGTCTCTGTAGTCATTCAACCATCATCATTTCCTGATGTCCCAATTGCGTGCTTGTCCCAGTCCTGGTATAAGGGATTCTAATCCTGGGAACTGATTTTCCTAAGAACTGTCTTTTTTTTTTTTTTGAAGATTTTATTTATTTATTCATGAGGAGAGAGAGAGAGAGAAGCAGGCTCCATGCAGGGAGCCTGAGGTGGGACTTGATCCCAGGACTCCAGGATCACACCCTAGGCTGAAGGCAGGTGCTAAACTGCGGAGCCACCCAGGAATCCCCAGAACTGTCTTTTTCAGTTGTTCCCACCTAGCCTAACCTGAGTGGAAGAGTGGCAGCAGGGGACCACTCACAAGAACTGGCCTGTTGACCTCAATTTTTATTAGCTCCCCCACTGTGTCCAGGCTAGGGTTTGCTGTGATGTACCCTGCTGTCCCCATCAGGGACTGTGCTTGCACTGCTGCTTCACTGTCCTACAGTGGCAAGTGTGGGTGGGGTGAGCAAGGATGGGCCAGTCCAATAGACCTCAGAAAGGGCACAATTAGCAAACTAACCAGGCCCTGTTCCCCTCTGAGCTGCCTTGTACTTTTTTACATACCAGGATCCCAATCACCATCTGTTATTTCAGTGTTTTCCTGAATTTTATATCCAGTTCGAGGATCCATCAACCTTAAATGAAGTAACTGTGGCTCTTCTAGGCTGGGTTTTTGGGAAGGGGGCCAGTCGCTATCTTGGCTTCCTGGCTTGCCTTGTACTTAGGAATTAAACCTGATACTGAAAAAAAAAAAAAAAAAAAAAAAAAAAAAAAAACCTGATACTGAGATTCAAGATGTTTGGGTTTAAAGATCATAATAAATATACATGATACATATTAATCAAACCTAACTGAGTAGAGGTGCAGCAGTTGTACCTTTAGCTGGATAGAGAATGAAAACTGCCAAAGAATGGAAGACTGGCAGAGAATGGAAGCCTGAGGCCCTTGGTCTGATTTTGACATCTCTTGCTTTTCCATCAAGGTTGTGATCCTATCTTCCTCTAATCTCTGTCCTAAGGAGTACAGTACACTCCCTTTTCTGCTCTGGTATAGATAGCAGTGCTGCTTTGTAACTCTTCTGCTCACCAACATTTCCCGTTAATCTTGCTTTATACAATCCTCTAATACTGGGCTGTGTGAATATGATTACCTTCTCTTGTCTATTTGGTAGAAAATCTTTTTGGTCCTGTGTGTAACACATAGTGTTAGATATTTCTGCGTGGCCTGCCATCATTCCTTGCTCTGTACGAGCTGAACAATCTACATTAAATTAAACTCAAGAAGTTTCCTTGACATGCGTTTATTTTTTTTATTTTTTTTATTTATTCATTCATGAGAGACACAGAGAGGCAGACACAGGCAGAGGGAGAAGCAGGCTCCATGCAGGGAGCCTGTTGTGGGACTCGATCCGGAACTCCAGGATCATGCCCTGAGCCAACTAAGGGCAGGGGCAAACACTCAACCGCTGAGCCACCCAGGCATCCCTCCTTGGCATGCTTTTTCACAGAAAACCCCATTCCTGAATAAAGAATTTAAATAATAAAGAACATAAGAGACATAGTGGTCTCTATCAGACTTAACTCTGTTGCATCACTTGACCTTAACCATAGGTGAGGTGGGGGAGGGAGGTGCCAAAAGCCATAGTTTTAAGAAACACTTCTGGCTAGGTTAAATTAAAGGTAGATAGAGAGGTCCCCACCTTGAAAATATCTCTGTTCATCTATGAAATATATTTATTTGAATATCCCACTGACACAGAAAAGGAGTCAGAAAAAAATGATCTTATTTCCTTCATACATCTGTCCTCAGCTTTCCTATGATCTTTCAAAACTCCTTCATTTTTTTTCTAATTCCACAGCTTTGAAACTTCATTCATTTTAAATCTGAGCATTTCTTTCACCATGTGTTTCAAATTTCTTTTTATACTACTTTGTTTTGTTTTAAAGATTTTATTTATTTAAGAGAGAGAGCACAAGTGGGGTGGAGGAGCAGAGGGAGAGGGAAAAGTAGGCTCCCCGCTGAGTATGGAGCCTCCATGAGGCTCAATCCCAGGACCCTGGGATCATGACCTGAGCTGAAGTCAGATGCTTAACTGACTGAGCCACCCAGACGCCCCAGATTTCTTTTTATTTTGAAAGCCACAAATTCTAACTTATCGCCCTCTCAAAAGTATGCAGATCTTTCAGACTTTCAACTACCTCTTGCTATGTATTGTTAATAAATAATGGTAATTGTCAACATCAACAAAGCCAACACTTTTCAAGTGCCTACTTTTTTTTTTTAAGATTTTGTTTTTATTTATTCATGAGAGAGAGTGAGGCAGAGACAAGGGAGAGGGAGAAGAAGCAGGTTCCATGCAGGGATGTGGGACTTGATCCTGGGACTCCTGAGATCATACTCTAAGGTGAAGGCAGACACTCAACCAGTGAGCCACCCAGGTGTCCCAAGTGCCTACTTCTGATGCTTTGCATCCTCATTCATATATTCATATCCTACTAATACAGAGATTGTGCTTGGTTCTCAAATATAGAAAGTTCCAGGAAAGATGCAATTAGCGTTTATTGACATGCTATTATTATTTACCAAGTAGTATGCTAGATACTTTAAGTAGTCCTTTATTCCTTACAGTGCAAGTCTTGGAAGTAGTACTGTCTCAGTTTTACGTATTTAAAAAGCGAAGCGTAGAAAAGTTAAGGGACTTGACCACAGTGGCAGAATTAGAATTCTAACCAAGAATTTTCTAACTTCAAAACATATACTTTCTGCTTTTCCACGCTACCTTCCAATAACTATATCTGACATTGTGCATTTGTTCACAGATGTTCAGTAATACTTGTGTGTCATGCATTGAGGATACAATCTCACATATTTCAGATGTAAATCCTGCTCTCCTAGAGATAAGACTCCTACATATATGAGTAACTATAATTCAGAGTAGACAGCTGTCTTGAGTAAAAGGCCCTGGTAAAGCACCAGGGGGCTTTAGAAGGAGGAGAGTTTATTTCAAACTGAAAAGTTCAGAGGCTAGACATGCTGGGAGGACTGCCCTCTGAGCTGGACTTTGACGCATCAGTGGGGCTTGCCTGTGTGAACCAAGAAATCTCTTTGAAGGAGAAAAAGCATGAGCAAATATAGAGATGGAAAGTACACTGTACGTGATTGTGAGCTTCTTGAAGGAGTCCTGGAAAGTATACTTTAGAAAAACTCTTTGTATACTTATTTTTAGGAGACATATAATATGAAAATGTTTCTTTCTTTTTCTTTTTTTTAAGCTTACAATTGAGCATGAGTCTTCTTATGATCAGTGAGAACGTAAAATTGGCCCGTGAGTATGCACTACTGGGAAACTATGACTCCGCAATGGTATATTATCAGGGAGTTCTTGACCAGATGAACAAGTATCTGTATTCAGTCAAAGACACCTATCTCCAGCAGAAATGGCAACAGGTGAGAATTATGGCTGCTGTGTGTTTTAATGGTTTAAAGATTCAAAAGACTTAAAGAGATTGTTGGTACTTTTTGAAGTTACACATGAAGAGTGTATGGTTTGTTACATGGATTTGTATATAATGTTACTTGAAATTTGATTTATTATATTAGTAATAGTTCATATTCACCATCATCAATATTGTGAGTTCTACTCAGTTACAGTTTTTGAAGTCTAATAGATTAAAAAAAAGTAATGGTTTTGACTTTTAAGATTTTATTTATTCATGAGACACACACACAGAGAGAGAGAGAGAGAGAGAGAGAGAGAGAGAGATGTAGAGACACAGGCAGAGGGAGAAGCAGGCTCCATGCAGGGAGCCCGATGTGGGACTTGATCCCAGGACTCCAGTATCATGCCCTGAGCCGAAGCCAGACGCTTAACTGCTGCGCCACGCAGGCGTTCCTTGACGTTTTTTCTAATCCCATTTTTTACCTGGTATAATTAGGATTGACTTTATTAAGCCATTGTTGAAACTGCAGATGACACCTGAATCTCTCATGGCTATAATATATTCTCTGCAGAATATTCTAAAGAAGACTATATTTGAATCCCATTTGAGGAATGTTAGTCACTGAGGACCAGTAGGAATTTACAGATGGAAAGTGTAGAAGTTATAAGTTCCTTTAAAGGTGACATTTCTTTTTTTTTTTTAATAACTAAGCAGTTTATTTTTTTTAAAGATTTTATTTTATTTATTCAGAGAGAGAGAGAGAGAGAGAGAGAGAGGGCAGAGACACAGGCAAAGGGAGAAGCAGGCACTACACAGAGAGCCTGATGTGGGACTCAATCCCGGGTCTCCAGGATCACGCCCTGGGCTGCAGGCGGCGCTAAACCGCTGCCTCACCGGGGCTGCCCTGAAGGTGGCATTTCTAACAAGGGTCAGCTACATCAAAGAAGAAAGAATTATTACAGGATTTAATAGTCTTTTTGAACGGGTCTTCTCAGTAGAATGTTATCCCTCAGATTCTTCTAAACTACTTTTTTGATAGTATTCCATTTTTGTACTTAATTTCTTTAAAATGGAGAAATATCCTACCTCTTTGAACTTAAAACTTTTTCCCTAAATCTGCTTCTGCATATCCCTTACATTACCATAAGAGGAAGATATTTTATTTCATAAAGAGTCTTTTTTTTTTAAGATTTTATTTATTTATTCATAGACACAGAGAAAGAGAGAGGCAGAGACACAGGGAGAGGGAGAAGCAGGCTCCATGCAGGGAGCCCGATGTGGGACTTGATCCTGGGTCTCCAGGATCACACCCCAGGCTGCAGGCGGCTCCAAACCGCTGCGCCACCAGGGCTGCCCTCATAAAGAGTCTTAAGTTTGTCAATGAAAGACTTATGTTCATAGGCTGGAGATGTTTTTTTTTTTTTTTTTTTTTTTTTTTTTTTTCCTAAGTAGACTTCACAGCCAGCATGGAGCCCAAGGTGGGGATTGAACTCACAACCCTGACATCAAGACCTGAGCTGAGATCAAGAGTTGGACACTTAACCAACTGAGCCACTCAGGTGCCCTTGTAGACTAGAAACTTTTATCTTAAAAGTCTAAGCTTTTTTTTCTTTTTCTTTTTTTTTTAAGATTTTATTTATTTATTCATGAGAAACAGAGAGAGAGAGAGAGAGGCACAGACAAAGGCAGAAGCAGGCTCCATGCAAGAAGTCTGACGTGGAGCTTGATCCCGGGTTTCCAGGATCACACCCTGGGCTGAAGGTGGCGCTAAACCGCTAAGCCACCTGAGCTGCCCTAGATTTTTTATTTGAGTAAGGGGCAGGGGTGAGAGGGACAGAGGGAGAGAGGATCTCAAGCAGACTCCCTGCTGAGCACAGAGTCTGTGCTCCCACAGAGTGGGGCTCTATCTCACAGCCCTGAGATCATGACCTGAGCCAAAATCAAAAGCCTGACACTCAAGAACCTGACATTCAACTAAGCCACTTAGGTGCTCCTATTTATTTATTTTTAAAGAGAGAGAACACATATGAGCTGGGGGAGGGGCTTTGGGAGAAGGGAAGCAAATTCCTTGCTGAGCACAGAGCCCAAAACAAGGCACGATCCCACAGCCAGTCCCACAACCATGTGATTGTGACCCGAGCCAAAATCAAAAGTAGGACACTTTTAACCAACTGAGCCATCCAGGCGCCCTGGTTACAGATATTTAAAGAGCTATATTCTCCCTTTAAAACCAGGTTTGGCAGGAAATAAATGTGGAAGCTAAACATGTTAAAGATATCATGAAAACACTGGAGAGCTTTAAACTAGACAACACTCCACTGAAAGCTGCACAGCATGAGCTTCCAGCTTCTGAGGGGGAAGTCTGGTCCTTGCCTGTACCTGTTGAACGAAGGTAAGTGGAGACCTTTTAAGAAACAAATTAGCCCAGGAAACTAATAGCATTGGCTATATCTAGGGAAGCTGGGTAGCCAAGAGACAGGAACGGGAGAGGATTTTTTTTACTGAATGCTTTTTAGAACTCTTATGTTGTATATCATGTAACTATGACCTGTATCGATAAATTAAACTTAGGAGGAAATATGCCAAAAATGCTTTTGTGAATGAGCTTGTACTAATGGAGACAACATTATCTTATGGAAATAACTGGGAATTGAAATATCTGGCACTCATTCTATCTTTGCCACCTTCTGTAGCTTTGAAAAAAACCTATAACCTTTCTAGGCTTCAGATTTTTCTTAGGTAAAGTGAAGGAGTTACAACAAAACACTGGTTCTCAAACAGCTATCACAGAATACTGCTATTCATGAAAATTATTAAAATGAAAAATAATGTGGCTTTTTAATTCACAGGATAAAAAGGATAAAATGTTCTCTATTTTAGGTTTTTCTTTGGCATTTTCCCCCAAGCTTTCTATCCTTGGAGCTGGCATATGTACAGTTAGTGAAAGTGATATTTACTGAAATGGTCTGCATAGCCAGTCATGCTTAGTTTCACTCCATTTTTTTAAAGATTTTATTTATGTATTCATGAGAGACACAGAGAGAGGCAGAGACATAGGCAGAGGGAGAAGCAGGTTCCCTGCAGGGAGCCTGATGTGGGACTCGATCCCAGGACCCTGGGATTACAATCTGAGCCAAAGGCAGACACTCAACCACTGAGCCACCCAGGTGTCCCTCACTATATATATTTTTATCTGACAAGTATGTGATGGATGTCATTAGTCTCTTCCACTCACATAATAGATTTCCTCGTTTGTATTGTAGGCTTAAACATGTGAGTGTATAATAGCATTCTATAAAAAACCCTGACTTTTAGGTTCTTTGACCCTAATCAGTTTGAGAACCTTGCATTAAGGAAGACATTGCTCAGGTGTTTTTCAATTTCACATTGTTATTTATAACTCTCAATTCTTTTTTTTTTTTTAAGATTTTATCTATTTATTCATGAGAGACTCAGAGAGAGAAAGAGATATAGGCAGAGGGAGAAGCAGGCTCCATGCAGGGAGCCCGATGTGGGACTTAATCCCGGGTCTCCAAGATCAGGCCCTGGGCTGAAGGCGGCGCTAAACTGCGAAGCCACCCGGGCTGCCCCATAACTCTAAATTCTTTTTTTTTTTTAATTTTTATTTATTTATGATAGTCACAGAGAGAGAGAGAGAGAGAGAGAGAGGCAGAGACACAGGCAGAGGGAGAAGCAGGCTCCATGCACCGGGAGCCCGATGTGGGATTCGATCCCGGGTCTCCAGGATCGCGCCCTGGGCCAAAGGCAGGCGCCAAACCACTGCGCCACCCAGGGATCCCTAAATTCTTAATTGTATTTAATGATGGGCACTAGATGCTGAGTGCTCATATATGTCTTAAGCATTATTAGAGGCTACACATGTTACTTCATTTATTCACAGCCTTTCAAATAAGTCGTATTTTCTTTATATTTCATATAAGATAGCTTGAGGTATAGTGAAGTTAGGTTAACTTTTCCCCATTATCACAAAGCTAATAATTGGTGGAACTGGAATTTGAAAACAGGTATATTTGAAAGCTGGCATTCCTTGCCATACTAGTTATTCTCAAATTCCAGTTTACCTACTAAAGGTCTCTTTTGGCACTCATTAGAATGTGAATTCTGGGTTTTCACTCCCAGAGAGTCTGATATAATACAGGCATACCTAGGAAATACTGCAGGTTCTGTTCCAGACCATCACCATAAAGGGAATATTATACCAAAATTGAGTCAAATAAATGTTTTGGTTTCCCAGTGCATATAAAAGTTGGGTTTGTACTATACTGTAATCTGTTAAGTGTGCAGTAGTATTTTGTCTTGGAAAAATAATACACATACCCTAATTGAAAAATACTTTATTTCTAAAAAATGTTAACCATCATCGGAGCTCCCAGCAAGTTATAATCTCTGATCACAGATCACCTAAACAAATATAATAATAATAAAACGTTTAAAATATTCCAAGAATCACCAAAGTATGACTCAGAAACAAAATGAAAACAAACAAACAAAAGAAACAGAAAATGAGCCAATGCTATTGGAAAAATGGCACTGATAAGACTTGTTCAACATGAGGTTGCCACAAATCTTCAGTTTGTAAAAACAAACAAAACAATATCTGCAAAGCACAATAAATTAAAGCACAGTAAAACAAGGTATGCCTATAGATAGCAGGTGGAGCTCAGGAATCTGCCAGCGATTCTGATACTGGTAGTCCATGGATCATGCTTTGATAAGTATTGTGCCAAAGTGTTCCCTCTCCACTTTAAGATCAACTACTGGGTATTGATTGCTTTCTAGCCACCTTCTTCTTGTCTTCAGTTCTAAAGTACTAATGTTCTGTTATTGACTCCTATATCTTTTGAATAGTTATGAAATTTTTCCTTTGCTTATAAACATTTTTATAAATACTATATTTTCTGTTATATTTTAGAATTCACTAAAAAAAAGTACAGCAGTAGGCTCATTAAAGAAAAATAAGAAAATGCATGAAAGGAAGGGCAAATCATATAGACATTCCAGTGCAACTTCTAATCTTTTTATTTTCACAGTTATACTGTATTCACAATATGTAAATTTGTACCCTGTTTCTAAAAAAAAATCCTAATAATAGACAACAATCATTAGATATTTACTGTATGCTGGGTACTGTGTTCATTGTTTTATGTATATTCTCAAAACAGTCTCAGAAGGTAGGTACTAGTTTTTTAGCCCCAGTTTCTGATGAGGACACCAGATAGGTTAGTTGGCTCTTCATACTGTAAGCTTTGATGATTCACAAGCCACGTTAGACCTTTTTCTCTGGTGCTTTTAAAGGGTTGTGTATAACCAAATAGTTAACCATGCTCTCACTGGTTGTTTTCCCCTTTTTGTTATTATAAAGTGAGTATTTGTAAGTAAATCTTCTTCTACATTTATGATTACTTTTTTCTTAATTTAGTAAAACTAATAATAGATGAGTCAAGTTGTATGTTTTTATTTTTTCTTCTCTATAAATATGTTTTACTCCTTTTTACTCTTTTTTTTTTTTTTTTAAATTTATTTATTTATGATAGTTACACACAGAGAGAGAGAGAGAGGCAGAGACACAGGCAGAGGGAGAAGCAGGCTCCATGCACTGGGAGCCCGATGTGGGATTCGATCCTGGGTCTCCAGGATCGCGCCCTGGGCCAAAGGCAGGCGCCAAACCGCTGCGCCACCCAGGGATCCCAACTCTTTTCTTTCCTCATTCTGGAGAACCATCATTTGGTCCTTGTGTTACCAGTCTCTTCCTCCTGCTGTAACTAAATATACCAGATCTGGTGGCTTAAACACCAGAAATTTATGTCTTTATTTCTCATAGTTCTGGAGACCAGAAAGTCCAAGATCAAGGTGCTAGCTAGTTTGGCTCCTGAGGACTCTTCTCAAGCAGACAGCTGCCTTCTTTCTGTCTTTTCATGGCATAGGGAATGAGCAAGCTCTCTGGTATGTCTCACAGGGCACAATCCTCAGATCAAGGCCTTATTTAACTTTATTTAATTAATTAATTCATTTATGAGTAGGCTCCATGCCCAACATGGGGCTTGAAGTCACCACCCTGAGATCAAGAGTCACATGCTTTACTGACTGAGCCAGCCAGGCATCCCTAACTTTAATTACTCCCTTACTCTAGATGATCTCACTAGGGATGAGGGATTTAATGTGAATTTTGGGGGACACAAACATTGAATCCATAACAGCCCTGTAACTCCTCTCTCACTTACTGGGTTAAGAACTTTTCAATGAATACATGTACCCAGTGAAAATTTAGTTCATTAGATGAACCTCTTCATCTAGAAATTCTATGACGAGGAGTCCTAGTTTCCCTTCTGATTGCTTCTTGCTTTCTTCAATATCTTTTTTTGTCCCTGATCTTAAATGCCTTGGATGGATCACATTATTATGATGATGATGATGATGATGATGATGATGATGAATATTCTCCTCCTCTTGACTTTATTAGTTGCATCTTTGTTTCTTCCTGTAGTTTATTTTATTACTTGCTCCCTCAAGTAAATATCCCTCAAAACTTTTTATTTTTTGTTAATCTTCATTTGTACTCGTGTTTAAGAGAGCTTATTCTTTCTTTCTTTCTTTCTTTCTTTCTTTCTTTCTTTCTTTCTTTCTTTCTTTCTTTCTTCTTTCTTTCTTTCTTAAGATTTTATTTATTTATTCATGAGAGACACAGAGAGAGAGAGAGGCAGAGACACAGGCAGAGGGAGAAGCAGGCTCCATGCAGGGAGTCCGACATGGGACTCAGTCCTGGGTCTCTAGGATCACATCCTGGGCCAAAGGCAGGCGCTAAACCACTGAGCCACCCGGGTTGCCCAAACTTATTCTTTCTTGAACCTTGGTGGTGAGTTCAGCCTTGTCATCAGTTAGATTTTAGTTCCATTTAAAGAACAGATTGAGGGATCCCTGGGTGGTGCAGCGGTTTGGCGCCTGCCTTTGGCCCAGGGCGCGATCCTGGAGACCCGGGATCGAATCCCACATCAGGCTCCCGGTGCATGGAGCCTGCTTCTCCCTCTGCCTGTGTCTCTGCCTCTCTCTCTCTCTCTCTCTCTCTCTCTCTCTCTATCATAAATAAATTAAAAAAAATTAATAAAGAACAGATTGAGCTGATCCAGTGTTCTCTTTTATGGTTGTGCAGAGAAATGTTTGTACAAGGAGGTTCACTGGGCCTTTTAGAATATCAAAGTGTTCATCATATCCTTCAGCAGCATGTGCAGACTGGTTCTGCACTATCTCTAGAACTTGAGTTCTCATGACTCTCTTCTTCCTCGAGCAAGTCACACAGACACTTTAGTTCTTTGTACTTGCCTTTCTTTCAGCTCAGATGTCTGATAACTTGTTCTCTCATTTCCTTCAGGTCTCAGCTTAAATGTTACTTCAGAGAGAGTGGTCAGCTGTCTCTGACCACTCTCCCTGAAATACCGCCCCCTAATCAAAGCCCCTGCCATTCTTTATTTTTCTAGACTGCACTTCGCATCATCTGATGTACTGTTTATGTTTTCATTGAAGCCCCCTCTCCATACACACATATACACGGATATAAGTCTGTAAGAGTAAAGGTTTTCTTAAACTTATTTGAAATATTTTAATCCTAATGTGTAATCAATAGTAATAGTTCAGTAAATTAGTTTTTGGAGAAATGAATAGCTAGTAGTAAAAAGTGGATGAAAAGTGGCATATTTTACAGGTAACTGCCATCTAGTCATTAAAAGCCATTTATGAGGTGATGATACAGGAAATGCCTTATGGGGGATCCCTGGGTGGCGCAGCGGTTTGGCGCCTGCCTTTGGCCCAGGGCGCGATCCTGGAGACCCGGGATCGAGTCCCACGTCGGGCTTCCGGTGCATGGAGCCTGCTTGTCCCTCTGCCTGTGTCTCTGCCTCTCTCTTTCTCTGTATGACTGTCGTAAATAAATAAATAAAAAAAAAAAAGGAAATGCCTTATGAAATGAGTAGAGAAAAATATGAATGCATGTGTGCATAACAATTCCAGTTCTGTTTTTTTTTTTTTTAAGATTTTATTTATTTATTCATGAGCGGCACAGAGAGTGAGGCAGAAACACAGGCAGAGGGAGAAGCAGGCTCCATGCAGGAAGCCCGATGTGAGACTCGATCCTGGGACTCCAGGATCATGCCCTGGGCCGAAGGCAGGCGTCAAACTGCTGAGCCACCAGGGATCCTCTCCAGTTCTGTTTAAATGAAAGGCAACTATAAGAAAATAGACTAATATGTTAGGTGGTTAATGCTGGGTAATGGAGTTACAGGTGACTTATTTTTTATATTTGATTATATCTCAGTGTCGGGAATCCCTGGGTGGCTCAGCGGTTTAGCACCTGCCTTTAGCCCAGGACATGATCCTGGAGTCCCAGGATCGAGTCCCACATTGGGCTCCCTGCATGGAGCCTGCTTCTCTCTCTGTCTTTCATAAATAAATTTAAAAAAAAAAAGGATTATATCTCAGTGTCTATTTTATATTATGTTTCTAGTAAGAGAGTAATAAATAAATAAATTAATCAATTAATTAATTTAAGGTAATATCTCCACTTGGCTCTCCCAAGTGTCTAAATCCAAAATCGAACCCCTATCATTCCTTTCCACATTGGTTTGATTTTATCATCCTGCCAAATCCTCATTCTCAATGTCCCATGTCTACAGGAGTATATTTTAATAGCAATTCTCTCAGACTCTCATTGCTTACTGCCTTAAGCCTGGCCTTCATTTCTTGCCTCCATAACATATGTAACCTGCATATATCCCCCTGCTTCTGTTTCCTTTATTGGCATATTTTTCTTACTCAGGTATGGACTCATTTTTCTCAAACCCTTTCTTTCTTTCTTTTTTTTTTTTTTAAAGATTTTATTCACTTATTCATAGAGACAGAGAGAGAGAGAGAGAGAGGCAGAGACACAGGCAGAAGGAGAAGCAGGCTCCATGCAGGGAGCCTGATGTGGGACTCGATCCAGGGTCTCCAGGATCACGCCCTGGGCTGCAGGCAGCGCTAAACCGCTGCGCCACCGGGGCTGGGCTCTCAAACCCTTTCAGCAGTAGTTAGCTAAAAGCCAAGCCTCTTGAGCTGGTATTCAGATTTTCTACTTAGTAAACCACCTTCTCTGTCCAGTATCTTCCCTGAATGCTCCCCGTTGTCTTTATAGTTAGTGTCTTTAGAGTCCTTTACAGAGATGAAGCTCATTTTTATTTCTTTGCTACGCTGATTTTCTTGTCTGCACTTAAACCCCTTGTTTAGTTCATCTCCAGTGTTTCCAGACCCGGTGTATTTTCTGTCTTCTTGAGTCGTTGATAGCACTTGGTCTCATTTGCATTTTCTGGTGTACTTGCCTAGTTTACATATCTTCTTTCTTAACTATATTTATGGTATTTGAGGATAGGCCTCTCTTACCTTTTTTATTGCTCATTTTAGTGACCCCAACCCAGTCTAGCAGCCTGAGAAATATTTGAGAGGTCTGAATCCTGCTGCAGAAACAAAGAGGGCATGAGGTCATGTATAAATGTAAAGCACTGTATGCATCACTTCTTGTGACTGTCCATAGCCAGTATTTATGTCAGTTTTTTAAATGGGAAAATTACTAAGTTTCATTAATTAAAATAAGAGATCTATGATATATTCTAAGTAAAATAGTGTCAACTTACACACGTACCGTTGGATAAATATGAATCCTGTACTTGTGCTGTGTTCTCGTTCTTCTGATAAAACTCTCTTTGATAATTGCTGTCTTTTCAGTTTCCAGGAATCAGACTCCTTTTTCTCTCATCCTTAATGTACACCAGTGATATCCTCTCAAAGGAGAAGTGATGATCACTTGCCTTCCATTATTTCTATCATATAACCATACAGTCCTTCCTTTCTTTTCATTATATTACCCCAGACTATGGTGTCAGATTTGAACATCAGATCTTAAATTTCAATGACTTAAGTTTGTTCACTCCTCTCTGATCTTCCATTATTGCCTTGGCTTCTTCAGTTCAGAGCCCCTAACTTAAACATTATATGTGTTCGTCTGTATTTGGACCACCTCCAGTTCGTTATGATTTTCATGATCTTGTGTCTAATTAGACCCTCACCAGGGCCTCGAAAACGCCAGTCCCCTCAGTACAGTGACCCTAAACCACATGGCAACCGTCCAGGTACAACTGTCAGAGCTCACCGTTCATCTACACACAATCTTCACAACGACAGAGGGAAAGCCGTTCGCTGTCGGGAAAAGAAAGAACAGAATAAAGGAAGAGAGGAAAAGGTAAATGATACTGATTTTCATAAATGAAATATTTATTAACCTTAAAAATGAAGACTGTATAAATGTAATCATTTTTAGTCATTGAAACCACCAGGCTATGATGAAACCTTACTCATCTTCCACCTAGACTGGGATTTTTTTTTCCCCACTCCCTAGTAAACAGATATTTTGGAGTATTTTTGTATCTTTATATCTTGATATAATTTCAGGCTTGCAAACAAGTTGCCAAGAATAGTATAAATTTACCCAGTTTTACCAATTATTAATATTTGCCCCTTTTGCTATACCGTCTACTCTGTATACATTTTTTTCCTGCAACATTGAGAGTAAGTTATAGATATCACACCCTAAATACTTTAGAGTGTATTTCCTAAGTACTTGGACATTCTTTTACATAAACACAATACAGCTGTCAAAAGCCATACATTTTATTTATTTATTTATTATTTTTTTAAGATTTTATTTATTTATTCATGAGAGACACAGAGAGAGGCAGAGACATAGACAGAGGGAGAAGTAGGCTCCCTGCAAGGAGCCCGACGTGGGAGGATGTGGGACTTGATCCTGGGATGGGGATCACACCCCAAGCCAAAGGCAGATGCTCAGCTGCTGAGCCACCCAGGCATCCCAAAAGCCATACATTTTAGCTGTTATAGGCCTGTATCAATCCACAGACCCTCATAAAATTTAGCCAGTTATCCTAGTAACAGCATTTGCAGCTTGTTTTACCCCCATGCCAAGACTCACTAGGGAAGCCTGCAATGCTTTCAATGTCATGTTTCTTTAGTCTCTTTAATGTGAAAATTTCCTCAGCCATTCTCTCCTTTTTTTTTTTTTTTTTTTTGGCCTGGCCTTTTTGAAGAGTACAGGCTAGTTATTTTGTAGAATGCCTCTCAGTTTGGGCTCCTCTGATGTTTCCTTGTGATTAGATTAAGGTTATACATGTGGAGCAGGAATACCATTGAAGTTTTGCTCTTCACATTGTATAATATACGGAGGCACAGGATGTTTGTTTTGTGACTTGAGATAAATTGGAGTGCTTCATTATTAGGGTGGTGTCTGCCTGGGCTCTCCACTATAAAGCTACTTTTTTTCCCTTTATAATAATTTGAAGGGAGATACCTTGAAACTACGTAAATATCCTGTTTCTCATTAAAATCTCATCTACTTGTTTTAGCATCCAGTGATACTAGCCTAAATCAGTTATTCCTATGACAAATGAAAAATCATGATTTTCAGTTTTTTCTTTTTTAAAAATTTAAATTCAATTAACATATAATTGTGCTTTCTCCCTCAAATAAGTAAACTCTATTTTTATTTTAAATTTTTTTTAAAGATTTTATTTATTCATGAGAGACACAGAGAGAGAGAGAGACAGAGACAGAGACACAGAGGGAGAAGCAGGCTCCATGCAGGGAGCCCAATGCGGGACTCGATCTCAAGACTCTAGGATCATGCCCTGAGCCTAAGACAGATGCTTAACCGCTGAGCCACCCAGGCATCTCACAAATAAAATCTTTTAAAAATTTTTAATGAGATATTTCAGATGTTGGCGACTACATTCAAAATGCTCTTTAATGGATACAAATGAAAAAGTAAAAATAAGTTAAAAGCAAGATAAAAATAAATCCCCTAAAAGGAAACTCACTTAAGAAAAAAGTTCTTGTGTATCAATGAAAATATTTTAGCCTTCAGTTTTGTTTATTTATTTGTTTATTTATTTATTTATTTATATTTTTTAGCCTTTAGTTTTAGTTTTTTTTTAAATATTTAATTTATTTAACATGAGAGACAGAGAGAGAGAGGCAGAGACACAGGCAGAGGGAGAAGCAGGCTCCATACAGGGAGCCTGACATGGGACTCGATCCCAGGTCTCCAGGATCCCACCCTGGGCCGAAGGCAGCGCTAAACCACTGAGCCACCAGGGCTGCCCTAGCCTTTAGTTTTAAAGTGTATAGTGTTTCCACCACTCTTTGGTTCTCTATTGTTTTAAGGAAGAGTAAGAGAAGAAAGTATACTAAATATAAGATTAGCTGCAATAAGAGAAGGTCTTATCTGTCTCCGCTAAGTGTAGGCAGGACTTCTATCAAGGGGGATAGGATAGCCAGAGAACAAATGTGTAAAATAGGTGTTCTTCCCAAGTCAGCAGTGTCTTGAAAATATGTACCCAGTGTCAAAAAACGTATATTTGGGGAGACCAGATTAATATATTTCAAGTAATTATAAGGTAATTAGATGCTTAACAGTGGTTACGAATGGACTAAAGAGAACAGAATTCTGTGGTGGTAGTCAAACTTTATAGAAGAGACAAAACCATTAAGCTATAAAAGGTGAATGGGGGATGCATGGGTGGCTCAGTGGTTGAGCGCCCCCCTCCAGCCCAGGGTATGATCCTGAAGTCCTGGGATCAAGTCCCACATCGGGTTTCCTGCATGGTGCCTGCTTCTCCCTCTGCCTGTGTTTCTGCCTCTCTCTCTCTGTCTCTCATGAATAAATAAATTTTTTAAAAAGGTGAATCATTTTTTATCCTATTTAAAAATCTTTTATTATATATTCATTTTAGAAAATCAGAACATAGAATAAGTAAAACAAACAAACAAAAAAACCCCCTCAAACTTGCATTCCTATTGCTCCTGAGATCTATTAATCCCATGGTGTATCCTTTTCTATATGCATAATTTTTTCGTTTTTTTGCCACAAGTGGAATCATTTTCTGTTCTTTTAAGTAATCAGTACATTCTGTCTTTCTATATTGAGTTGGTCATTCTTCTAAATAGTAGCTGTCCAAATGACTAGAGGAATGGAATATGAACACAGACATGTGCCCTTCAGTGCAGTGTCTCCCTTCAAGTCTGTTGCCCATTGTCAAAATGGTTGTCCATTCTTCTTCTTTTTTTTTTTTTAATTTATTTATGATAGACATAGAGAGGCAGAGACACAGGAGGAGGGAGAAGCAGGCTCCTGCTTCTCACCTGTTGTCCATTCTTCTACTGTTGGGTTTAGAGTTCTTTCTGTATTCTAGGTACTAGCCCTTTATCAGATATGTGGCTTTTTTTTTTTTTAAAGATTTTATTTATTTATTCATGAGAGACACAGAGAGAAAGAGGCAGAGAGACACAGGCAGAGAGAGAAGCAGGCTCCATGCAGGGAGCCTGATGTGGGACTCCATCCCGGGTCTCCAGGATCACACCCTGGGCTGAAGGCAGCACTAAACTACTGAGCCACCGGGGCTGCCCCTAGATAATGTGTTTTGAAAATATTTTCTTTCAGTGTGCAACTTCTTTTCATCCTTTTAACTGGGTCGTTTACAGAGCAAAAGATTTTAATTTTGATGAAGTCTAATATATATGTTCCTTTTTTTTTTTTTAAAAGATTTTTATTTATTTGAATGAGAGAGTATGCACAAGCTGGGGTGGTGGGGGGGTGGGAGGGGGAGACACAGAAGGACAAGGAGAAGCAGACTCCTTGCTGAGCAGGCAGCCCTACTTGGGGCTTAATCCCAGGACCTGGAGATTGTGACCTAAGCCAAAGGTAAATAAATACTCAACTGACTGAGCCACCCAGGCGCCCCAAACCGCCTTTATACCTTTTTAAAAAATGAGTTGGGCATATTTGGGTGGGTTTAGTTCTGGGTTCTCTATTGTATCTCATTGATATATATATATCTGTCTGTTAACCAGTACTAGCCAGTCTTGGTTACTGTAGCTATATAGTAAGTCTTCAAATTGGGTAGACTGATTCATCCCACTTTATTTCTTTTGAGAATTGTTTTAACCATTTTGTTTTCTTTTTCCATATAAATTTTAGGATCAGCTTTTCTACATCTGCAAAGACTCTTGCTGAGGTTTTGGTAGGAATTATGTTAAATCTGTGTATCAGTTTGAGAAAAGTTGGCATCTTTATTGAGTATGTCAATTCATGAACATGTTATTTATCTCCTTTTATTTAGATTTTGTATTTCTTTCATCAGCATTTCACCCTTTTCAGAATACTAGTCTTGCATATGTTTTGTTAGATTTTACATATATCTTACTTGTTTTAAGTGATTGTAAATGTTATTGTATTTCTAATTTCAGTGTCTACATATTCATTGCTAGTATATAGAAACACAATTGACAAAAAAAAGAAACACAATTGACTTTTTTATTTTTTTTATTTTTATTTATTTACGATAGTCATACAGAGAGAGAGAGAGAGAGGCAGAGACACAGGCAGAGGGAGAAGCAGGCTCCATGCACCAGGAGCCCCACGTGGGATTCGATCCCGGGTCTCCAGGATCGCGCCCTGGGGCCAAAGGCAGGCGCCAAACCGCTGCGCCACCCAGGGATCCCCACAATTGACTTTCTAAAAAATTTTTTAATTGTGGTTTAAGTATATATAACATGAAATTTACCATTTTAGCCATTTTTAAGTGTGCTAAAGTTTAATGCAGTTGTATATGTGTATATTGTTGTGGTACCATCACCACCATCTACCCAATGGAACATTTTCAATATTGCAAAACAGAAACTCGACCCAGTAAACAGTAACTCCTTGGAAAGGAAAACTCTACTTTCTGCCTACTTGCTGCTCACAGAACACTTGTGTATTACAAGTGTGTAGGGTGTTTCCCTACACCAGGCAATTCTCCAACATCAGCTGAGTACCCTACAACTTAAGTGTGACACTTACCTACCCGGAGTTAGCATCAAATCTCACAGGTTAAGTGCTCAGTCCCCAAAGATTGCTCCCACATCAGTACCAATTGAGAGTCAGGATATCACCGATGCTTCTGACCAACTGGTATAAATCAGAGATTACCATGACTCCCTCCTTGGTTCAGTAATTTGCTCGAGCAACTCACTGAACTCAGCAATAACAGTTTGTACCAGAGGGACAGCCAAATGAAGGAGTAACATAGGGCAAGTATGTGGGAAGGAGTGTAGAGCTTCCATAGGCCTTCTCCAGGCAAGTCATGTTCCTAGCACACATGTTCACAAGCTGGAAGGTTTCTGATCCTA